ATGATTTTGTTGGCAATATGTATGAAAATTACATATGATGATTTAAGTAATCTTTATACAAATTGCTCAAACAACCACAGGGATAAGTAAATCCTTTTCTGAAAACCCAGTCTTGAAACTTCTTTGTACAAAAACATCAAATCTCTTGCATTCATCTATCTGAAATTTGGCAGGCAATGCTTACTCTGAAGTGGCAACTATGCCTGTAAATATAATCCAGCTCTGTTAAACAATAAACATAAAAGAAATCCCTCTTTTAATGCATTTTAGAAGCCATTTCCATGAAGATAATTGAGAGTATGTTATATAATTTATATACTTTAGAAACATAGCGTGCTTTATACTAGCAACAATATCCCAGCAACAATAATATTCACATAATTATAATTTGCATTATAATTAAAAACAAAACATATACTGAAATTGTTTGGAGCCATTGTTTGTATTTGCATGATACTCTAAGACTGATCACATGACTCCAAGAATGACATTGCATTAAATAAGGGTTAATGGTACACCAGACAATATGGTAATTCTGTTCTGCAGTATTCCAGGAACTTGTTAATAAATAGACAGCAAGATGCTCCAACTGACCCTAGGAGCACTGGTTGTGTTGGTATGGCAGGTGAAAACTGAGTCTCACTTTGCCTTTTATGCCTCTCTTTCACCAATTATGTCCTCCCACAGGATGAAATTGATCTAAAAGCAGCAGAGATGCTGGAAGATGTAGGGCTGTTTTACAGTTCATCTTATAAGTATATTATTTTCCCATTTTCCAAGTCATGACCAGATTGAGTTAAATAAACTAACCAAAATCAAGCCATGGTCATGGATTGTGGTTAAAATGGAACGTCTTTATCAAAATATGACCAACAGTGTCAGTTTGGATAGTACGCCAAGTTAAATCAAGTATGACTTACCATATCATGTAATACAAACAGATCGATTTCTATCCTGGTCCTGCACTGGATAATTCATTGTGATAATAATTGGAGGACGTTCGGTTCTCCAGTCTAAAGAAATTGAACTGGCTCTATTTTGTTTGTCTAATTCTTTTCCATTTTTGTTCTGCACATTTTCTACTGAACTTAAAAGTTCAGTAGAACTTAAAATGCCAAAAATATTATGAGGTTATTATTAAAAATTATAAATAGATAAGGTTTGTCAACACTCTTCCAAAAGTATTTAATCATTGATTTCTTGGCTATTGAATGTAGTTAGTATGACGTTTTCAATTTGCTGCTCACAAAAATAAATGTTCCCAAGTATTCAAAGGGAATTTGGTTGAAATGGTATCTGCTAGCCATTTTTCAGTACAAATCATGGACTGTAAAGATGAATCTGAATATAAAGGTTCACAAAGTAATTTGCTTGATGTTAGGAACATGTCATCAGAATATAGTAGAAACTCTTGTTCATTGTTTTTTTCATGGACATCGTATTGCTTTCAATACGTGATTCAGTTTCATCCTGAATAAGAAGCATCTAGCAGGTATCTTTTGTCTTACCCTGCTGTTTGTTTATACTATGAAAAAGAAGATTTAAAAAGCACTAGCTCCGCCTTACTTTATCTAGGATATTATATAGAGTATGTATAGAAACTGAAGAATGTAAAAAAAAAAAATCTTAGTAAAGGCCAGACCAAAAAGAAAAATATCATCTTGGGTAGTGCTAATAATGACTTGGTGGGTGCTATAGTAGAAATAGTCCCATAGATGTTAAAAGGAAACCCTCTTCTGAAATCTTCACAATTGTAGACTTTAAGGAGAAAGCTTTCATTTAAAAATGGAGTTATAGAAAGGTCTCACTCAAAAAGAAGCAGCAGATTATTCATCAGGAAGGTTTACCAGGTTGTTATTAGGGGCTGATATTCTGCTGTTGATTATAGACTACTAGATAAAACACGAACTATACTGAGAAAATGTTATCTGGTGTTGCACCATCAGATGGTGCAACTGCAGGGCAGGGCATCTACTACAGGAACTAAGGCCGCTGACCAATTGGATGATGAAATAATTCAGAGAGCTGATTTGTGTGAGGACAAGATTAGGCTCTACAATTCGGTGCTGCAGAAATTTCTAAGGCTAATCTGACAAAACAAATTTGAAAAGAATAGGCTGAATCTCATTTTTCTGCCAGAAGATCCTTGACCACAGCCATCTCCATAGACAAAACAATACATGATGTCCTAAGATAGGATAATAAAATAACTACAGAGTTGGAACTTCTTGTCCAACTCCCCACTCAAGCTGGACTGCCTATACCATTTCAAATAAATGGTTGTCCAGTCTCTTAAAAAAAACTCTAATTATGGAGCACCAATAACTCTTGAAGGCAAGCTATTGCTGTAACCATTAGGAATTTTCTCCTTGGTACCAGGTTGCTTCTCTCCTTGGTTAGTTTCCATCCATTGTTTCTTGTCTTGCCTTACTGGTGCTTTGGAAAATAATTTGATCCCTTCGTCTTGTAGTACAGTAAATTGTGGACACATTACAGGAATGCTGCACTTTCATTAACAAAAATGAAATAGCAACAGGACATTTTAGCATGGGATGTCTGTAGCAGCTTTTTATTCAAAAGGGTAACTATTCCTAATGCTTAAAATTTTAGACTTGGCGAAAGGGGCCTTGTAACACTGAGCACATGCTGATAAACAGAAACCTCAAGGTTGGGATTAATTTATGAATGCTATGGCGAGATGAATGTCCCAACAGCCATGCTGGGTACTACCTCTGTTAAAGAACAACCCAGAAGCTAAAGAGTCTGTGGCTCTTAAGGATGTAAATGCTACTACCGGTAGTCCCTGTTATACCTATGCTTATTGGGACTCAGATCAAACTCAGACCCTTTACTGGCACCCAATTCATTCTGTTTACTGGATGCTAAATCCTAGAAGTAGGCTAAAGTTTGGTGATCGGCTCAACTTGTAAAATGATTACAAATATTGTGAAACAAGCAAACAATTCAAGATTTTCTCTTTATTTTATAGCAAGGCAGGCGTGTTTACATACATTGATAATGGGTACATGCTCCAAGCCCCCCTTCCCAACTTTATACCTTTTACAAACATTTGACCCTACTTTCTACTTCTTATGAGTCTGTATAAAATATACACTTATACTACTGAGAGATGTAATACTAAAAAAATCCTGCAAACTTTAAAACTTGTAAAACTCCCAAATTAATGCAAAATACATTTTATCACAACAGTTAAAAACAGAAGGTTTAGGGCCACAGAGTCATTCTTTCCCAAGTACTTTGCCTGGGAACCAGTTTGCTGTATCATTTTCCACCCAATATATTTAATTCTTAAGAGAGAAATAAGAAATACCCTTTTGTTCTATTTGACTAAGGAAGATGCACAACTTCTCAGGTCACAAATGGACAATGTCATTCCCTGGCCCCCTGGGACTTTTATGTCCCACATGGAATCCTAAGGACTTATGCATTTAGCTCACTATAAAAGTTACAAACTGTAGAGAAGTATGAAGTTGATACATTTCAGTAGGGCCATAAACAACAGATCTAAAATATTTATAACACAATAAGCCAGCTCACATGTAATCGTTTTCAATTGGACCAAAGCTGAAATAAGCATTCTTGTTTAAATAGATTATGCAAATGCCAGTCTGGCTTTAGGCCATGTGTCTAGCCATTAAATCTATGGCCTAGTGTAGCCTACTTTCAGGTTTTGACAGGAGTAGATTGACAGAACCTGGGCCCTCTTAAAGAATGTGTCTGCTTCGACATCCTTTGGAAACAGAGAGTGGGTTATTGGATTGGTTCAGGGTACTAGGAAAATGCTTTTATTTGAAATATAGTGGTGTGGATTATTTTTGTTCCAAAACTGTCAATGCATAAATAACTCTGAAAATCAGTCAATAGCAGTACAGTATCACTCCACAAATACCTAGGTGGAGTGTCACAATATAGTGGACCAGTGAGCATATTTAGGGCTTTGAGAATGCCATCATACTGTGCCATTATGGACCCAGACAGTTGCATTAGGAATATACTTGCACCCAAGGCAAATGGATGAGATTGGTACCCACCATTCTCTGCAATTGATCTAATTTTTAGGAAGCAAACGAATTTAAAACAAAGGCCTGGGTTGTTTCTAACTCTCCCCTTGTTTAAAATATAGGATCTTTTGTATGTTCCCCTTCAGAAGTTTGCCTTATTTTTTAAAGAAACCACACACACACCCGCACACAGCTGGCACTTTGCAGCATACCTGCTTCCTATGATTTTATTCCTAATTAGAAGAACCTAAAAATAAGTCAGATGCAGCAGAGGGCTTTGTGGCACCAAGGGTGGTGTCTGTGGCATACTGCCTACCCCTACAGTGGCAAAGGTGTTTAAAATGCAAAGCATTTTTGTCAGTGAGCCCTGTGCCATATGTGCTGGGCTAGAGCCACCTTGGGCCTGCCAAGGGTTAGACAGGTGCAGGCTTCCCAGGAACAAAATGGAGCGATGGCCCCAATCACCATCTTCCTGCCTGGCAGCTTCCCAAGATTCAAAACTCCTGCCAGCAGAAAGGTGGCCATCACGACAGCCTTTTGTCCCTCAAGTTCCTCAACCCACGCCTAAATAACGTGGTTGGTGGATAGTTGAGCGTCGGCCTTACCGGTGACCCACTGAGGCTGTCGAGCCCGCTCGGGAAGCAGTCGGTCACCTTACTAGCCCGGCTAGCCCTGTGGACGATACCTAGTTTGGGTAACGAAACGTGTGTGCAAGAAGACACGCAAACTCAGAGAGCACCAAGGAGCCCTAACTTTCCGCCCCCCGCCGCAGTCTCCTTAAACGGGGCTCCTCGGAAAAGGGGTTTCCATGGGGGTTGTTGACTCTATCGAAAGGAACGGGATTCAGAAAAAAAAACTTCTGCTAGCAAACGCGTGCGAGAAACCTGGCCTGCTTAAGACTGCCCCCCTTCCCTTGAAGAGGGAAGCGGTTCGTGGGCACCTTGGCTCCCACCCCCCGCCCGCCCCGGCTGCTCCTCCTTTCTAGGGGAGGTGACTTGTTGAATTTAAAACCTGAAGGGCGAACTTCACACCTGGCGCTCTTTCCTCAAGCAGGCGCGCCGGCACAGGCGGGGAGACCGCGGCATCTGGAGCCGCGCGGGTGTCCCACGCCGGGAAAGAGGCGGAGCGCCCCCTCGTTGGCTTCCGTTCCGCTCCTCCTCGCCTTGGATTTGCAGCGGGAGGCTCCCCTTCTCTCTCTCTCTCTCTCTCATTCCCAGAGCAACAGCACCGACGAGGACGACGACGACGAGGAGGAGGAGGCGGCTCCGGGGAGCGCCCGCCTCCTTCGCTGCCGAGCGCGGTGCACACGGGGCATGGAGCCTGCCTGAGCCAGTCCGCGGGGCAGCTGCTGCTGCAGCACAACATGGAGGCGGCAGCGCCGCCACCGCCGCCGCCGCTGCTTTTGGTCCTGTTCCTGCTCGCCGCCTCGCTACTTCGGTGCAACTTGGGGTCTGTGGCGGGTACGTTTCTGGAGCCGCCTCTCCACCACCCCCCTCCCACCCCCTCGCCGGCTGTTCCGATCCCGCGCTTCGGGAAGAGGGACCCCTTTTGTTGTGGGGATGGAAAAGTTCTTTGCAACTCGGGAAGGGGAGCGGAGGAGGCGTGCGAGCGGGCGGGCGGTGGGGGCGCCAGGGCGAGCCGAGTGGGCGGCGGGGAAGCGCTGTGCCTGGGAGGGAGGGAGCGTGCGTGGCGGCGGGAAGAGGGGCGCAAGGCTGCGGGTGGAATGGCTTTAGCCCTGGCGAGGAAAGCTTCGGCCGCCTCCTCTAGGAGAGGGGAAGGACGGCCGTACTGCATGTCAGGCTAGGAGAAAGGGAGACCCGATCGGGCAGGGGGGGAAACAAAAAAACAGGCAGGAAGCCCCTTGGTTGCTTCTCCTCCAAAGCGCAAGTTCTGAACTAAAAGCGGAGGGCGTTTCCGTGCCTCGGTCAACGTAGTATTTCGGGGAGCCTGCCTCCCTCCCCCCCCCCCCCCCCCAAGGAAAAAAAAAGCATTCCTTCGGCCTTTTTGCGTGACGGGGCTCTCGAGTTCAGCCTGTGCCTCGAGAGCGAGACAAAAGTTTTACTTTCCTAGCGCTTTGCGGCCCTGGGCCGCGGAGATTTCCCAGGCGCTCGGAGGCGCGGGTGTCGATCCCGGGCTGAATCAAAACTTTTTCGGCTTTGGCGGAGGGGTGTTGGGACAAGAGCAGATCTAATTTCCTTTTATTTTAATACTTGTAACCTAGGGGAGTTGGGCGGGGGGGCGGGGAGAAGAAGCGGGAGGAAGGAAGAGAGACTTGCCTGACTTGTGAAACGTAACACTTTGGCAAAACGGACTTCTGGGAAGAGTTGGACTGTCTGGGGGTTTACCCAGACGAAACTACAGGGAACATTTGTTCCCTTCCTTGACTAGAGGGAGTGATCAGGCAATCACGTACATTTCCATATGCAGTCGTAGTCATTTTATTCGACTTTTGAAGAAGGAGTTTCTGGCTTGATTTTGCTGAAATGTGCTCCGGTAGTATGTGGCCCGATCTGTTAGATCTTGGATATAAATAAAGAGACAGTCTCCCTCTTTGTTAATACACTTACTCTGTGTGTGTTCTTATTGTGAACGCTTGCACTGATGCAAGAAGTACAGGAAGATTTGAGGATAAGGAATATCAATAGGGATATAGGGTAGTTTTCTTCATTTTGTAGTTGGTATTTCATGTGCTGAGGAATCATACATTTTGTTTTGCATTCCATTTTGTCTATAAAGTCTCTTGTGTTCTTGCAGCAATCCCTAGCACTATCACAAAAGGATTGTTATAGTTTGTCACATAGTCAGCCAGATGTTTAGACTGGATTTGGCATTTTTAATCCATCTTTCAAATTGTACCCAAGACCTGGAATAGGGAGATGTTCCACTGTCTAAAAAGTTATTTGTTCACAAACAACTTGCTGCCAGTTCTTTATCTAATGTTAGCTTTTATAAGCATCAAATCCTTCTCAAGAACCTAGGGTGTTGTAATGTATCAACAAATCAAGCAGTGTGACCTTTTACAATTCGTGGATGGAATTTTTTATAATGTGCAGATACTCTTTAAGTACTATCTAAGATTTTTTGGTATGGCAGCCTGTGTGCCAATAACCACTACAGTCATCACAGCTACTTTGTGCCATAATTTTCCAATTTTGATTTTTTGATCTTGGTGCTTTGTGATATTCTCCCTATTCTTTGTCTTCTATTCTGCTATCTCCTCTTATTATTGCCACATCAGTTGTCCACATTTTCTTTTCGACCACAGTTAAATCTGGTGTAGTTATGACTGAAGACTTTCTCAGTTTGTATTCAGAAATCCCACAATATTTTAACATGTTCATTCTTGAGCACCAATGCTTTATTACTGGTACATATTTTTTTTTTACAGATGTTCTTCTAGTGAATAGTTAAAGTGACTGTGTTACATTGTTTATATTCAGTTTGTGCAATCTTCTTGCATGAGCTTGAGTATATGATCTACTATTCTTTGCATAACCTGCACTTTAAATAATTCGCTTTCCCCCCTCCCAATTCTGGACTTGATTGCATCAGTTCAAATACGTTGCTCTCAAGCAACCAAAATCAACCCTTCGGTTTCTTTTTTTTAATGTTTCAGTTGTGAGCCATGGTTTTATCTTTATCCTCTTTCCCCTTGCTCTTCCGTAGAAATAGATTGTGACTGTGTCTGTGTGTAAGTCAGCCAACTCCAGTAGATTCTGACAATTATACAGTAATTCAGAGGCTGCTACCAAAAAGGGAGTTAACTGTCTTTTTTGTTTCCCACTTGTACTATTACTTGCAGGGAAAAAAAAATATTTTTATACATAAGAACCTCTCAAACGGCCTAGTATTTGTCTTCAATTTAGCAGTCCTCAGCAAACTGAAGTTTTGACATGCTAATGAATGTTTTAATTGTTGTAATTTGTCAATTAGTTGGAGAAATATACTTGTGGCTAATAGTGCATTCTCTTAAAGTAGTTATTACTGGGATTCCCCCTTTTCTTGAAACCATCTTTACTTATTGCTATTTAAGAGGGGAGCTCTAACCAGTTTTCCCAAAGGCCATTGTGTTTTGTTTGGAGATTTGGCTTGTTTTAGATATACAATAACATCTGTATGCAGCTTTAATTGTAAATAAAAGAAATCCTTCACACACCTGATAATTAGGGGAGAAAAAGGCTCAGTTTTCCAGTAGTGTTTTAAGTTAATTGATCCACCAGTTTTTTCTAGTATTTTTTAAAAAGTGATTATTATGGTTTAAAACGTTAAGTTCAGCTCCTTATCCAGTGGGGAAATCCAAGTGAAAATATCCCAAAGAGATGGTTGTTTAGCCTCTGATTGAATGTGTTCAATGAAGAACACCTCACCACCACTCAACCATCAGAATAATTGATTTGAAACTGCGTTTCTCTCAGAAATGACTTTTCACCTCTTGTGGTCTTCCATAGTATTCTGATGGAATTCTCACCACCTAGATAGAGATTTGGAACTTCAGGAGGAGATTGTGAGAAAAATCTGGGGTTCCACTGTTTGGAACCTCTGCTGAATATATCAGTAAAATGATGCATATTGGTATAGTTGATGATACTAAATAATGTGTGCTATTTCAGGACTCAAATGCCATATGACTGCTTAGTTTAAAAAAAAATAATCATGAGAATAAGGGTCTGCTGGTCTTAACAGCTATGTATTGCTTCCATTATTGGAGGTGGTATGCATCACAATACCAGTTGTTGGAGATTATAAGCAGAAGGCTGCTGCTGCTGTACTTAATGCAGTACTTGTAAGTTTCCTGCAGGCATGTATTGATTTGTGTGGGAAAGGAATGCCAAACTAAATGGGCTTTTGATCGGAACTAATGGGTCTCACATATTCTTAACCAAATCTGCTAATCTTATACAGAATAACAGAGTTGGAAGAAACCTTGGAGGTCATCTAGTCTAATCCCTGCTCAAGCAGGAGACCTATATCATTTCTGACAAGTGGCTGGCCGGTCTCTTCTTGAAAGCCTCCAGTGATGTTTTGAAGATGTGGGGGGGGGTAGTTTGAACAAAATAAAAAAAGAGTATGCAAGTCTTACAGCTGGATCCCTGACACTAAACCATAATCTGAAGATGCTTTGTAAAATAGTGTTGAGCAGATTTATATATTATGAATCAGTTAAAGTTTAAACAGGTATCTGTGGGTAATTGAATGTGACTCAAATGTCACTCAATTTAATCCATTTAATTCATGCATATTTTAAAATGGATATTTAAATGCAGCTCATGTAAGGCAAATCAATGCATGGATAATGCTCAGTTTTATATCTCAATCTCTGATAATGCCATGGAGCCCCTTTTCTTGGGTAATTGAAGCTGTGATTTGAAAGTGATGAGGAAAAATAAGCTTAGAAACAGCACTAGCAAGAAGACCAAGTGGCTTTTCAATGGTGTACCCCATCTATAGTATTTACAATGAGAATAGCCATTCCCAAGAAATGTGATCATGGGATGTCCCACTTTATGTGACTGCATTACTTAGTGATGGAAATTTTGGTCCTGGTTACAGTATTTAAATAAGGATTACCTGAACTTAGTTTGTCCCAGAAGAAAAAAAAACTGCATTTCTGAATATGTTGATTGTTAATAATTAGTGTAAGTACTAATTACCTTGCCTCTAGAGCCTGGAAAAGGTGGACTGAGAAAGTTGTAAGAGTGTAATTGAGTTTCTCAAAAGAGAGAATTTATGCCTTTAAAAAGAGAAATTAGGAATTGGAAGAACTGAAGAGAATGCTGGAATCAGCCTTTGGATGTGGTGGAAACAGCAGTGGTTTGCCAGAATAAATAAGACCTGGCCCTCCCCACAAACACTTAAGGATGGGAGGGATCAAGAGCTTGGCATTTGTGATTTTGTGATGGGACTCTATTGTATTCGGTGGTAAGAGAGAGTTTTTAATATTTTGTATCGTTCTTTAATTTAATTTTAACATATTTGATTTTGGACACTGCCAGCCTCCAAACTCTGTCATTTATCTGTTGATAGCTGCCCAGATAGTCTGACAGAAGTAGAGATTACGATGTCCACCCAGTAAAAGATCTGTAGCTCCTAGACAAACAGATTGCTGCTAAAAAAACTGGTCATGAAAAATTCTCTATATTTTTTAAAGGGAAGCATTTTTGGACTGGCTTCATTTAAGACATAAACCTCCAATCTGATTCTGAAAAATACCTTGAAGACTGATTGTGCCCTTGGGCTTTCTTGGATTTCATTCCCATTACAAGAAACAGGATGTTGTCAGCCATAGTGGTAGTAGGGAACTCCTGGTAATAAAATATTTATATTGTCTATTTAAAAAAATGGAAATTCATCTGAAAGTCAGAACTCATGGTTTGATGTACACCGATGTCACATTTGGGAGGTGAATTTAATTTGCTTGCCTGTTCTAGATTTAATTGGCTATGTTTGCATAACACAGAAA